GCGGCGCCGCGACCCGGGAGCCAGGCCGCCGCCCCCAGCCCCGCCCGCTGGGCCTCAGGACCGCCGGGCCTGGCCGCCGGCCGGGTGTGCGCCCAGTTCAGGTGGGAGAGGCGCGGCGAAGCGGGACGGCCGCGTGGACTCGGCCCCAGGAGCGCAAGGGGTTGGCTGGGACGCGGGGGGCGCTGGCCGACTTCGGGACGCGTGGCCGGGCGCTCGCGCCGCTGTCGCGGGCTCCTCACGAGTGTCCGAGGAAATGCTGGAGGAGCGGTGTGACCGTGGGGTCGGGCAAGCCTGGGAGAGTGATCCTCCCGGCACCTCAGCTCCTGGCCCCTCGTGTGCCTGCTCGCCTGGCCGACCGGCTCTCCCATATGGCGGGCACCCGGCGGGGCCTGGCGAGAAGAGCCGGCGGGCGGGTGCGCCGCCGGCCGGGGGCGGGGAAGGGGGTGGAGGGCCTGTGGTGGAGGGGTTACTGTCGGTCACCGAAGCGGCGGCCTCCCGGGGAGGGGGCGCGGGCATAGGGCTTGGTGCCCAGCGGGCAGGGCTCCTGGGCTCCACCAAGGGGTCTGGGCGGGGTCCTCATGCCTTCCTTTCCCACGCACGGTCCCACACACGCCCGGGCACGCCCGTTGCCTCCACGCGCGAGTAAGAGGACGCCCTCCCGCACGGCCACACCGGCCGCGGCCACCACGGCCCGCACACACAGTCACACGGCATGAACTCACACCCCTTCACGCACACTGCACGGTTCACACATCTTGTACTCCGACTCCCCGCACAGTCCCATGTTCTCTTCGACTGAACATTAACCAAGCTATGGCTCAGGGGTCGGCCGCGTAGGCTGTGGAGAGGTCATCCCGCACTCGCCACGCCCCCTGCCGGTTCCCTCTTCCCCCTGCACTCTGGTGTTCCCTATGGAACCCCGACCCCACTCCACAGGACACAGAGGGGCTGTTTTCTCTTCCAGTCACCAGAGGCCGGTCGGAGCGACAAATCCCCAAATGCCTGGGCCCTTCAAATCACCGTCCCCCTGCCCCCAGAACCAGGTGGCTCGTGAGGGGTCCCACCGCCCTGCAGGTGCGAGGACGCCGGGGCTTGGCGATTTTGGGGCCTGCGGGAGGCGCGGGGATAGTGGACTCTTATTTTGAAGGGCGCCCCCGCTCGCCACCCCCGTGATTTGCACGCTGACCCAATGGCAAGCCCTTGGCCGGCGCTGGGCTTGTTATCAATTACATGTTGTTCCTGCAGCCGCTGTGTCCCCAGGAGGATAAACAGCAGGCCTGGCCGGCTGGGCAGGGGGCGGAGTCCCGCCAGGGACTGTGCCCGGAACAGTGTGTCCCCTCCCCCTGCGCTCAGCCTGCGGCTCCTTCCCTGCCATGTGCTAGTGTTTTAGGAACCAGAACTGGTCACCGCCCTGGTGTGCCCTCTCGAGCACCAGCGCCCAAAGCCCCTTCTTGGCTTTTCAGCGTCCAGCCTAGGCCTCTCAGCGCTGCCTTAGGACCCTTGCTGCCTGACCTGGGCCTTTCTACTACTGGTTTCACTGCCCGTCTAAAGGCCCAGGTCCTCCCAATTTCTGCCAGGTCCTATTTTAGACTCGGATATAGTAGTAGACTGAACAGTCAGAACAGCTTATATTCTGGTGGGGAGGTAAACAGAAAATAAAGTACACGAATAATCGCAATAGTTTCTTGCAGTGGAAACTGCTAGGAAAAATATGCAGGATGGTGTAACAGAAGGTGGTCAGGGGAGGCCCCTCTAGGGAGTAACTTTTGAGCTGACATCTAAATAAGGCACTTCCACATGGGGGTGAGGGAGGAGGGACCCATGGAGAGCGACAGCCAGGGCAGTGGCCTGCGGCCCAGGTGCTCCTGAGCTTGGTGCCCACTTCCCCAGTGTGGAGTGGGGTGGGTAGAGGTGAGGCGTGGGAGAGAGGGGCAGGGCCCAGGTGCTGGGCTGTTCAGAGGAGATGGGGTCACATTTCCTTGGGAAGCTCTTGGAGGTTTCCTGACAACCCACTGTACTGTACTTACTTGTTTCCTCCACTGTTTCTTTTTGTATCATTTCATCTATGAATTTCTCAGTTTATATCTCTAAAAGGTAAGGCTTTCTTTAAAAGGAATGTGCCAACCTCAATACCGTCATCACTCTTAAAATGTTAATAGTAATAACAATATGGATCAGTTGGTGATCACATTTCAGGGGAGAGTTTAAGGTGGGCAGAAACACAGCCCACTCTGCCCCACCACCAGTCCTGGCCTATTCCTGGGTTCCAGGAAGGCCATCCCCCTGATTCCTTGGCATCACAGCAGAGGGGCAGAAGGACCATGTGTTCCTAGTGGCTGGTACTCACCAGCGCCCATGTGTGAGTCAGCCCTGTCATTCAGTGCTCAGCCTGTAGCTCACTAGACTCTTACACCCACCTGGAAACAGGGCCCTGTTGGCAGCATCCCCACCAGACACAGAGAGGTCATGCCATCTGTCTGAGGTTGCCCAGCTGATAAGCTGCAGAGACAGGAGCAGAGCCTCCCGCTCAGAAGGTGGGTGATGGGTGGAGGATCTCTAGGGCTGAGTGAGTGTAGGCTCTGTCTAGCCTTGTTGCCCTTCGTGTTATATGACATTTTCATTCCCTCTCAACACTGATTTGGTGAAAACTGTGTATTTTTAGACTCCCAGTTTTAGATCGTAGGCAGAGTATCTAACATTAAAAAGCCAAACATCCTCCTGGTAAAACTGCCCTGGGGTGCAGACTTGTCAAGGACACATTGCCTTAGTTTCCCAGAGCTCTGTAAAGCTTCCTGGATGAGTGGGGAACTGAGGTCACAGGTCCTGGGGCCATTGGGGGCCTGGATCAGGCAGGAATACAGATTTGGGGAGAGCAAGGACTTGCTCAGGGTCACAGATGATGACCCCAGCCTTGGGGGGCGGTCTTCACCCATGGCTGGCCTGTTGGCTGTTGGACAGTGCTGGGTGCCAGCCCCACAGTCGTCCTCAAGACAGAGCATGCTGGTAGGTGCAGAGGTGATGCCTGGTGGCAGAGAATCTCTGGTTTCAGATGCAGAACATTCCTCTTCCTCACTGGTCATTGGGTGGGGACAAAAGTCCACGTAAGTGGCCCCAACACAGCCGGACACTGTTGACTCTCCTTGGACACCGGACCTAGCATGGCCTTCAGAGGATACAGCTCTGCTCTCTCCTCTGTTGATACTCTCTGAGCCCCTCCTGGGGACCAGTGGCCACTCTGGGAGCTGGGGACACAGTGGAGACCTGGTAGCCCAGCCTGCCCTCATGAAGCGTGGTCTAGCGTGGAGACTGGAGTTAGCTGGGCCTTCCTGAGGTGGTGAGTGCTCCATGGGGTGCAGGTCACGGGGGTCTTCTGTCCTACCAGGTGGTTAGGGAGTCCAATGGGTAGGAACTATAAGCCCTCTGTGACCTGGGGTCACTTGCTCCGCCATGAGTTATCACCATGCGGCAGGGCCCTGCCCACCCACTGGAGAAGCCTCAGCAAAGTGTCCACGTGCGGTTGAGAGCATTTTGTTCAGGCCTGTCCTTGTCTCTCCCATTTCACAGAGGAGGCAGTGGAGGCTGGAGGGGTCTGAGAACTGGAGGGTGGGTGAGCTATCCCCCTTTCAATGAGAAAACAGCCTGGGAGGGCAGGCACATAGTCAGATCTTTGATTTTTTGCCATAAACTGGACTTGCCTGATTAAAATATAGACTGCCAGGTTAAGTTTGAATCTCAAATAAAATAATTTTTTAATACAAGCATGTCCCATCCAATATTTAGGACATGCTTATATTAAAAATTGTTCATTTTTTAAGTCTGAAATTCAAATTTAACCTAGCAGCCTGTGTTTTTATTTGCTCAGTCTGGCAACCCTACCCAAGCCCCAACAGCGTGAGGGTCAGAGGGCGAATCATCATTCTCCTACCCCCTTCCAGGGACTCAACAGGAATGAAGCTGAGGTCTGGTGTCTTCAGAAATGCAGCCACTCCAAGTGGGTTCCCCAACCTTGGCTGTTTTGGGGTACAGCAAGCCTGCTCACATACTCACTTTCTCATTCATGGATACTCACACTCAGTCATTCACAGACATGTGTGTTATTTTGCAGAGTTGTTCTGGAAAATCTGTTTGAAACCAAAAGTGCCCTCATTGTGCAATGGGCTTGGAGAGTGTTCTTTTGCAAACAGGTGGTGCAATTTCAGAAAACACTCTTGCAGACAGAGTTCTCCCGAGGGTGGGATGGAGGCAGGATCCAGGCATTTGGCAATGGGAGGCTGTGAACTGGCAGTGGAGGGGGGCCGCAGGCTCAGGAGGTCGTAGGTGAGTGCACCATCCTGACCGGGCCTCCCTTGTTCCCCTCTGCAGCCACCACCAGCACAGCCAGGCCAGCATGGTGGACCACTTGTTTCCAGTGGACGAGACCTTCTCGTCGCCGAAATGCCCACTTGGTTATTTGGGTGATAGACTGGCTGGTGCGCGGGCATACCACATGCTGCCCTCACCCCTTTCAGAGGACGACAGTGACGCCTCCAGCCTGTGCTCCTGCGCCAGCCCCGACTCGCAAGCCCTCTGCTCCTGCTGCAGTGGTGGCCCAGGAGCTGAGGGCCAGGACAGCATCTTGGACTTCCTGCTGTCCCAGGCTACCCTGGGCACTGGTGGTGCTGGTGGCAGCATTGGAGCCAGCAGTGGCCCCATGGCCTGGGGAGCCTGGCGGAGGGCACAGGCTCCTGTGAAGGGGGAGCATTTCTGTTTCCCTGAGTTTCCTGTGGGTGATCCTGATGATGTCCCACAGCCCTTCCAGCCCACCCTGGAGGAGATCGAAGAGTTTCTGGAGGAGAACATGGAGCTGGGGGTCAAGGAGGCTGCAGAGAGCAACAGCAAGGATGCAGAGGCCTGTGGCCAGCTCTCGGCTGGGCCACACAAGAGCCACCACCATCCGGGGTCTGGTGGGAGAGAGCGCTGCGCTCCTCCACTCGGTGGCGCCACTGAGGGCAGCAGCCAGGCCCTGGGGGTGGGGCCTGCCCCTGACAGCCCAGTTCCCCTGCTCCTGCAGATCCAGCCCGTGCAGGTGAAGCAGGAATCCGGCGCAGAGCCTGCCTCCCCCGGGCAGGCCCCAGAGAGCGTCAAGGTGGCCCAGCTGCTGGTGAACATCCAGGGGCAGACCTTCGCACTCGTGCCCCAGGTGGTGCCTTCCTCCAACTTGAACCTGCCTTCCAAGTTTGTGCGCATCGCCCCTGTGCCCATTGCTGCCAAGCCCATTGGATCAGGACCCCTGGGGTCCAGCCCCACTAGCCTCCTCATGGGCCAGAAGTTCCCCAAGAACCCAGCAGCAGAACTCATTAAAATGCACAAATGTACTTTCCCCGGCTGCAGCAAGATGTACACCAAAAGCAGCCACCTCAAGGCCCACCTGCGCCGGCACACAGGAGAGAAGCCCTTCGCCTGCACCTGGCCGGGATGCGGCTGGAGGTCAGTATGGCAGGTGACAGGCTGGGTGGACCATTCGACTCTGCTCCATGGGGCTTGGGGCCAAGGCTGGGTTCTCCACCGTTAGATAAGGCTGATTAGGAGTAGGGGAGTGGGCTGGGGGCAGGGCCAGAGTTGGCCCTGCTGCCTGGAGGTCTCCTTATGCCTTCTGGCCACTAAAGCTGGAAACCAACTGACCTCCAGCTTATAATGCCCAGGGGAGGCTTGCTACAGTTGGTGCCGGGCCAAGGACAGCTAAGGACTGTGGAGCCAGGGCGGTGTGCCATGTGGGCTGTGGCCATGTGCACACTGCCCACCCTGTACCTCACAGCACCCCAGGGTAAGTACCACCCTTACTTCCATCTTGCAGTTGAGAAAACTGATGCTCAGAGACTAAGTAACTTGCCCAAGTTACAAATCCTGCTTTATAATGGGATTTGGGTCCAGGAGGTTGTATGAGAGAGGTCACATCCTAAAAATGCTGCTTCCCCAACCAGAGGGACCCGCTTTGCGTACAGGTGTCTTTAGGCATGTGGGTTGGGCATGGTCCATGATCCCTGCCCCTACCTCCCCACCTCAGGACCCTGGAGGAGTGTTTGGGAAGCTGCAAAGGCCAGCCGAGAGGGAGAGCCAGGCCAAGGCCCTAGACCAAAGGTGGATGAAGCCCTCATGCCCTGCGCCTGGTGGCCCAGCAGGGGACACCAGCTGTCAGAGGGCAGGGTCAGGGGTCTCGCTCAGGGTCACACAGCCATTAAGTGGTAAAGTTGGATGGCTCCCCTGTGGCTCCCCTCCTCTGGGTCCCAGGGCTGCTCACCCTTTTCGGGGGGTATGACCACCTTTTCCTGAAAGGCAGGCACCAGGCCAGGGGCTCACATGCCCGGGTGCCACAGCTGGGCTCTCCCCAGTCTTGGATGCCCACCCCACAGGACTCTGGCCTGCCTGGGAGGGTGGCCTGCCTACTGGCACATTCCCGGTCTTCACTGCTGCTGTGTGTGTGAGTGAGTGACGTGGCGTGCTCATCTGTGTACAGAACCAGACCTTGCAAGCGGGCATTTGGCTGGGTGTGCACACGTGTACGCACAGTGTGCTCTTTGTGTGTGACTGCCACATGGCCCTCAGGGTGTGTGTGTACTTTATTTGTGCATGTGCATCCGCACAGCGTGAAACACAGGGTGCAGTTGGCAGCATCTGTTTTTCTTGACCAGACTCTTGGATGAGAGCTGAGAGCTGGCCCTGGGATGGGCGGTGTGGCTGCTGAGTCCTGGCTGCTGAGGCTGTGGCAGGACCGAGCTGTGGCTCAGGCATTTTATGGGATGCTCGCAGCCCCTTGCCATGGGGAGCTGAGCTGGCCTGGGAAGGGACTTTTTGCAAACAGTGTCTTGGGTTTTGGGGGCCCTTTCTGATTGAACCTCTGCACCCACCACCCCAAAGGCACCCCTCAGAGCCACAGGGCTGCCGCAAGAGCTGGCACAGCCCCCAGTGCTGGTTGCTGGTGCTGATGACACGGGCCTCTCTGAGCCTGCTGTGAGCCCTGGGCAGCAGGGGTAGTGGGAGGAGCCGAGAGATCAGGTCACTGGGGCAGGCACTCAGCTGTAGGAGGGAGGGATATCATGACACCTCAGGTGGAGGCAGCTGGTGGCAGTGGTCAGCAGCCTCAGCCCTGGTCAGCCTCCAACTTGCTGTGTGCCCTCCGGGTACCTCCCACTGGCTAAGCCTCAGTTTCCTCGTCTGTGAAGTGGAGGGCCTGCTCCCTGTCTCTCCCTATTAGGGATGCAGGGTGCTCAACAGTGTCCCCTTCTCATGGTGGTATTGTCACTCACTCATACAGGGTCAGAGTCTGAGAAGGGGGGGTGCTCTGCCTGTCTCCATGTGGGTGGTGCCCCATTTCAGAGGTGCCCCCAGCCTCACAGACTCAGGGACTCCTCTTGGACACGTTCTCCTTGGTGGGGGACAGGGGTCTGCCAATTCAGCAGAGCTCCAGTCTGACTCTTGTCATGGGCTCCCTTTCCTGGGTGCCACCTCCTGGCCTCTGCTGAACGTTGCTGAGTGGCTCCTCCACTAGAATGAGGCTAGGTGGGGCCACGGGGGGAAGGGCACAGTCCTTGCTCAAGGCCGTCCCCTCAGCCCACTCCCGTAGGAGAAGGGGACCTGCCTTCCCCCGGCTGGCCCAGGTACCATGTAGGACTCCAGCCCAGAGTGCATCTGAGGGGGGTAGGTCTCAGCCTTGCACACAGTGGGCTCATGAGGTAGCAAGTTGCCTGTGGCAGGAGGTGTGTAAACAAGAGTGGGATTTGTGGAAGGGATTCAGCTCTGCCACTGTCTGAGCCCTGGCACTGGTCTTGCCCAGGACCCCTTGGCCAGGGAGGGCTCTGGTACAGTGAGGCCCCTGTGGAGCTGATTCAGGAACTGGAGCCATTCGGGCTCCATCCACTCCTGGACCTTTAAAGGACCTCCCCAGCTTCTGCCAAGGTCCCCTGGAGTGGAGGGTGGCCTTGATGGGGTCACATGAGGCAAGGGCACTGGGAGCTGAGGGTGCCTGCCTCTTAGGAGGGTGTTTCTCTGAGGATAAGAGAGTCCCTGGTTGGCTTTCAGGGGTTCTGAACTCCTGGGGATGTGCACAAGATGTGTGTATCCCTTAAATGTGTCTGTTGCCTTCAACTGCAGGGCGGGGGCTGGAGGGAGCCCTTGCAGAAGCTGGGCGGGAGGATGGAGCTGGCTTTGGCGGAGCTTGGTCTGGACAGGAGAGAAGTAATGATAATGACAATGAGATGTCATATTTACTGACCACCTACTGTGTGCTAGGTGCTAAGATTCTCAGAGCTGGAATTCCCTCCACCAAGCCTCGTGCTTGCTTACATACCCCCAGCTATGGGGAGCTCATGACCTCCTGAGGCCTTTTCCTATACTTTGGTATGCTTCAGTTCCCATCCAAACTTCTCATTCTGGCCCAGAGGCCTACACGATCTGCTTGCTGGCCTTTCCTGTGCAGTGCAGGCTCCCCCCTGGCCTGGCCCTGTCTGTGCCCTGTCTCCAGTGCTTCCCCCACCAGGATGGCTATAGTTGGTCTTGTGATGGTTCCTACTTTATTCAGCACACCTCACATGTGTTAGCTCCCTCACTCCTCGCAGCAGCCCTGTAGGTACTGATCTGCATTTTACAGAGGGGGAAACTGAGGTCCAGAGAGCCCATAGGGGCAGAACTAGTGAGTGTGGCTCTGGGTGCACCCCTAGGCAGGTGCCTTGGCACTGCCTGCCTCTCCCACCTGGAGACACGCCTGCAGCCACGTGGCTGGCCCTTCCCTCTCTCCCTGTGTGCCTGGTGTTGTGGCTGGGTGTCCCTCCCTCTCCTCCTCATGAGACCATCACTTGTTCAGGTGTTACACTTATGGGCTAACAGAAAAGAGACACAATAGCAACAACATAATTGTAGCTACTAATGCATGCTGGGTAGACTCCAAGCATGGTAACTCAGGGCTCCAGATAAGTCCACCATGCAGGCCTCAGTATGTTGTCCCCATTTTTCAGAGGAGGAAATTGAGACCCAGAGCAGTTAAGTAAGTTCTCCATGGCCACATAGCTAGAAGTGGCAGAGCCAGGAGTTCAGCCTGGGAGGGCCACCAGCAGCTGGTTGCCTGTCCATGCAAGGAGCTCACACACACCCCTCTTCTCACTGGCGGCCCGGCTGAGGAATTTGCGGTCATCCTGTCAGGGTAGTCCTGGCCCAAGCACTGTCCTGGGTCCTGTGCACACCCTTGTATCATGAACTGTGTCTCACCCCCCACCCCCCCGACCCAGGTCGTCACTGGCCCAGGTAACCAGCCCCCACTTCCTTCTGCTTTTGGTCCTGAATGCAGTCTCCCTGTCCCTTCCCTTCCTGTGATGTGGTTCCGGCACTATGACAGGGCCACAGCCAGGCTCTGCCTGTTCCGATCTGACTGTCTGGTAAGTGGCCGTTTGCCTGCCTTCCTAGAAGTTACCTTGCTTCACTCTGGGACACAGGCCTCTTTTGTTCCCGCAGTAGGACGTCCTGTTCCAGAATGGCCAAGCTGTTCTGTCCAGAAAAAAATCCCCTCCTTCCAGGGCTAATATGAATATTAATGACTCTCAGCAGGCCTGTGTGGCAGGTACTCCTACCTGCCCTGGTGGACATGGGGCCCAGAAAAGGAGAGTTACAGGCCTGAGGCCACAAAGCCAGGATTCAAGCCCACTGGTCCAGCTGCCCCTATTCTGTGAGGCAGTCTCTGAGCCCACCCCCACAGTTGGCAGAGCCCCCAGGTACTGTTGGACAGGTTGTACACTGCACAACTCTAGGGGGCAACATTCCCACTGCAGTCCTCCAGGCTTGGCTCTTTACAGTAATGGCTTTTGGCAGTGCAGGGGCACCTTCACACCAGGTGCTATGTGCCAGTGGTGGTGCTGACTTTATGGGCTGCTCGGGAGTCACCGGACCCCTGTCTTTCCCTGTCCTGCACCTCAGCAACACAAATCTTGGTACTGATCCTTGCGCACCAGGGATCGAGCCCCGTGCTAAGCTCCCTGCAGGTAATGAGCTCACAATTATTAAACTGTTGCTGTGTGCCAAGCACTGCTCCCAACACCCACTGCCTTTACTGTCTTTGGAGGCCGATCTGTCATTTCCTGTCTCCAGGCGGGGAACTGAGCCTCAGAGAGCTTGGTGACTTTCCACGGACGCCCATTCAGGAGGTTGCCCTGGGCAGCAGGGGTAGTGGGAGGAGCCGAGAGATCAGGTCACTGGGGCAGGCACTCAGCTGTAGGAGGGAGGGATATCATGACACCTCAGGTGGAGGCAACTGGTGGCAGTGGTCAGCAGCCTCAGCCCTGGTCAGCCTCCAACTTGCTGTGTGCCCTCCGGGTACCTCCCACTGGCTAAGCCTCAGTTTCCTCGTCTGTGAAGTGGAGGGCCTGCTCCCTGTCTCTCCCTATTAGGGATGCAGGGTGCTCAACAGTGTCCCCTTCTCATGGTGGTATTGTCACTCACTCATACAGGGTCAGAGTCTGAGAAGGGGGGGTGCTCTGCCTGTCTCCATGTGGGTGGTGCCCCATTTCAGAGGTGCCCCCAGCCTCACAGACTCAGGGACTCCTCTTGGACACGTTCTCCTTGGTGGGGGACAGGGGTCTGCCAATTCAGCAGAGCTCCAGTCTGACTCTTATCATGGGCTCCCTTTCCTGGGTGCCACCTCCTGGCCTCTGCTGAACGTTGCTGAGTGGCTCCTCCACTAGAATGAGGCTAGGTGGGGCCACGGGGGGAAGGGCACAGTCCTTGCTCAAGGCCGTCCCCTCAGCCCACTCCCGTAGGAGAAGGGGACCTGCCTTCCCCCGG